CAAATATCGAGTCCAATTATTATCGGCAAAATTGTCAAATGAAGAGAATAAAAAGACATTCTAAATTATTTTAGTCTTTCACAATTCATATAAAGAGAGCGTGAAATACCAATAAAACTTCTGAACATAACTCTATGTTCTATCAACCCAAGTGATCATGAGTTTGTGAAGTGGTAAGAGTTCGGTAACCAAACACTCTTGTATGCTTATTTTAAAGATAATGAGATATGAAGGCAATGCATACCGATAAAGAGACGGGCTGACCAAAAACATCGAAGTTGCTCACCATTTTTCGGAGGCACAGGGTTGATTCATGTACATGTCATTATTGTCAACCAGGATCGATGCAGCATGGCGTGCTGAAGGACTGGCCTTCAACAACTTCGCGCCACATTCGACTGCTGCAATATTTCGCATGACTCGTAAAGTTGGTTTAACTGCTCCGATCGACGTTTGCTGTTTTTGTATTGGGGGAATGGACGCCTCTTTACTTCCAGTAGATGACTCCACGACGCTAGATGGCAAAATGACAGAATCGGTAAGAGTTGAAGGAGTGGTGGTCACACCTCCATCAACACGCCCCTCAAAAGATACTGTATCGGTGGTAAGCGAATCTTCTGCAGGACTTGGCTTCTCCAGACTGGAGACGGTATCGTTGTGGGTTAAAGATGATTGAATAGGGGATGAGGCTGTAGTAGAGGAAGATGAATGTCCGGAAGAGCCTGAAGAGTTAGGCTCCGAAGAAGTGTGATGCGATGGGGCTTCCTTTGCGAACATCGGGCCGGCTTGTCCGTTTTTGCCAATTACATAGCTCGGTTCCCTTAGCGTTGAGTCTGCTGTAAAATAATTTGGTGAAGAAAAAAGATTATCTTATACCAATGAAGAAGATTGTTAAAAATTAAGCAGACACTGAACAACTATATAGGAGGACAGGTTTGACTCATAAAAAAAACTAGTCGCAAACGGATCAGAATAAGCTATGCAGGTAGAAGACTAATAGACTTTAAAGTGATGCATAGCAAATACTAAAAATACCAAATGTCTGCCAGGCAGTCCACAATGCGGATTCGTTTTTCTTATAAGGGTTTGTATGAGCAAGAGTTATCGTACACACGCCCCAAGTAGCTACCCCATTTGTTGCTGTTTCTCCACCTCTGACGATGAGCTCCTGCAAGAGCTCGAAAGCTCAGGAAAAAATACATCCCGTTCCAGTGCTCGGTCATTTGTCTTCTTTACAAAGAGATAAAAGTTTTGCAACATGAAAAAAAAACAGTGCGAGAACAGAGTTTATTTATAAATCGGGTATAAGGAAAAGGCCCGAAAATAAAAACCATATTATTCAAAATGGACGGCAGCTTTTGGTTAAAACATT